TAGTTTACCTTGTGCAAAACCAATGACTCATTCAGATGTGATAATCCCACTTCCAGTAATTCTTGTCCATTTTAATGCTTTTGAATGTTTTGCAAAAAAAAATAATAATAATGATAATAAAAGAAAGAAAACAGAAACAAAAGAAAACAGAAATAATGATAATGAAAATATAAGCTGATAAAAGCAACTTTACATTTGAAAAACCAGTTACTGAGATATTGAGAGACTTTCTTATTTACACATGCATGCTTTATCAATATAAATTATTTCCAGTGTAAGAAAGTGGAGGAACTAGTCTGTTGTCACAATGGTGACTTCCCTCCATTGGCAGCAGAGTACGTCCTGCAGAACACGCAATTTATGCTGAAGGACACCAGTTTCAGCACAGTGATAGAAATCACACACAGGTCCCCAGTGCTGGCTAGCAAGATCAGGTTTCCACCATTTTCTAAAAGCTCGTCTGGTGTACAGTATGGAGAGACAGCTTTTGCCACCACGACAATCTACATCAATGAGGAGCTGCAGAGGATGGGAAAGATGAATGCAAGCTCTTTCAACAAGGTTTTCCCTTCTTGCTAACTATTCCTTTACCTATTTAATGTATTTTAATGAATTGTTAATAGTTTTACTTATCAGTGACTTATGGCAATTTAAGTTCTCCATTTTATAATGATAATAAATTTTATCTTTAAAAATGATATGATATATAAAATGAAGTAACAGAAAAGCTTTAATCATTCCACAGATATTAAGTAATGTGACAACCTTGTTCTTATCACAGCTCCTTGTGCATCCTGCCAGCCCAGAAGAGTGGTCAGAAGTGTTTGATGTGGTTGCTGGTGAGCTTGGACAACGTGCAACATGGCCATTGGCCAGAGCCCTGGGACTGACCAATGTGGAAATAGAAAATGTCCAACATAGGTACTAAGAGAAATTAAAAGAAACTTACTTAAAGTTAAAGAAAGTTATCTTTAAAAAGAGTGTTGTTGTGATTTTTTATTATGAAAAAAGTTGAAAATTAACAGTGTCTGTCATTTGATGGCCTAATGGCCTCTGTCTGTATTTTGTATTTATGTTAAATAAAATGGATATAAAGTAAAATTAAAATAAGTTTTTTTTTGTGTGTGTTATATGTGCAACTCATATTTCAGGCATCCTGATGACTTAATGGAGCAGAAAATACAGTTGCTGAGAAATTGGAGGCAGAAACAAGGTCCTGAGAAGGCAACCATGTTTGCTTTGAAGTGTGCCCTGAATAAGGTTCAACAAAATGATCTAGCACAGAAATTACCATCATAGGATGATTTGATCTTGTCTAGTACAGTAGCATCATGTATTTTTTTAAAAGGAATATTTTATTTCTGTCCATCAGCAGATTTGAAATTGAGCCTTAATATGGTTACTTTAAAGCATCTTGTATTAATTGTATTGTACAGGACATGGTAGATATTTATGTTTCTGTTTAAAATTTAGAAATGGCAAACTTTTTACAGCTGGTGTTTGTTATGCAGTCAGTATATCTCTAGGAGTGCCATATGAAAGACTGATTTTGTTGTTTGGACACTTGGTCCAATTTTCTTTGTCTCTCTAGTGTAATGTCTCTGGCATTGCCAGTTTTATGTTGTGTTAAAATGTATATTTTTATCATACATAGGTTTTTAATGTTCATAAAATGGACATATTCTAATATTGACAGCAATATTCTATGGTCCTCACTAAGATGCAATGTGGGCAATATTTTATATTCTATCTCTATAGAGAGTATTGGTTGTGAATTTGGTGAACCACCATCAGCAGGATTCTACATTGATATGCACAAAATATTTTTAAATTGTGAGTCAAAGATTTAATACAAATTATAGATGTTTCCAATTTTCCAATTTATTGATAACGAATTGTACACATAAGGCATGTGGGGTGTGGTAAGGGGAATTCTTTGCACAGAATATTCCACTGAAATATGGAATTTCTGGGCCATGTGATTTTCATCACCCAAGATTATTTTGATACAAAATTTTCTCTCTTTGTCTTTTTAAGATAATCCCATTTGATGTCACCATGTTTTCTCTTTGCTGTATCTGTTAGGTTTAAAATCAATTATATAAATGTCCAAATAGTATATTTCCCTATTGAAGCAGAGTATTAATAATTGTCTCTATATCTGAAAAAAAAATTAAGTATTCTAATATGGCAGTAATAAATGTTTTGTTCTGCTATATTCTAACAATGGATAGTTTTAAAGGTTGTATTTGTTATCTATTCAGTTTGATTTTATTGTTTTTCTTGTCAAAGACAGTGTTGTATATAATGCATGCTTTAAAGATTTATTACATTGTTATGTTTGTATTTTAAATTTACAGTGTCACAGACACATGGGAGTATTAATGGTATGAAGTCTGTCACAGGCAGTTTTCATCAACAAAAATTTCACATAGCATTCCTTAAATCTTACCTCTCTTACCTAATACTTTTGCAAATGGGTGCAGCACTCCCAGAATGAACTGACCTCTATTCTTAGCAATACACATAGACATGTGATCCAAGTGATATTATGAATTAATCAGTGAAATACTATGTACATTTATAGTGCTTTTTTATCTACAGGTGACAATTATGGTTCCATGTTCTTTGATAATCAAATGTATTAAAATCTGGGAATCGAGAAATATGGCTATACTTATTATTATTTGGATGCTGTGTATCACGAGTTTAGCCTATTTAACTTTCATAAGCTTGTCTGCTTTGTCAAGGGTGCACCAAAATCTGAAAATCTGACTGTCTTAGAAATAGTTTTAAAAAACTATTCAAAACTATTCAAAAGTAGTGAATTTAAATTGTATATCTTCAGTGTGAAAACCTACTGGTTATGACTCACTGTAGTCACTGTTCAGACTGTTTATGTTGTTGCTTAATGTCAGTATTTGCTATTTGTGTGTTCTTGTTTACCTTTATTGTTGTGTTGTAGAAAAATGGTCTCAAGTAATAAGAAAATATCTCTTCATTTCATATATGTATGTTCATGTATGGATATGTCATTTACGTTCCAGTAATTGATGGACTGAAGATGTATATGTTGAAAAGTGTCCATTTTTGGTGGAATAAAGCAAAATTAATTATCCGTCTATATCACAGCTTCCATTTATCCTATTTAAGCGCTGAAATTAGTGTCTAGCGCTAGTTTCGAGTTTCGTTTTTTAAAAACGAAACTGGCAACTAGAAACTAATCTCGTTTTTCAAAAACGCACCTGGCAACAAGAATCTAGTTTCGTATATCAAAAACGATTCTGGCAACCAAAAACTGGTGTCGCTTTTCAAAAATCAATCTGGTTACTAGAAACTAGTGTTGTTTTTCGAAAACGATTCTGAGAATCATTTTTTGCGAAAGGAAACAAGAGTGGATGGATGAAGGGGTGACCGGAGAACGTTTGCCGCGACCAAATAACCTCTACCATGGAGGCCGGGCAAGGTGTTTGAAGTATAAATTTTAATGTCATTGAATTTTTCAAAAACAAATCTGATGCCCAGAAAACTGTCGTTTAAAAAAAAAACGATTCTGATACTCAGTATGTAGAAACCAGTGTCGTCTTTCGAAAAACAAGTTTAGCAACCAGAAACTAATGTCGTTTTTTCAAAAATAATACTGAGAAGCCAGAATCATTTTTGCGGAGGGAAACAGGAGTGGACGAAGGAAGAGACGACCGGCGATTAGCGTCTATTGCGACCGGGTAACCTTCACCGCGGAAGCTGTGCTGAATGAATATTACAGTCTCTCTTCGCCGTGCGGTGACGACCACCAATCGTTATCTACGATGTAATTAATAATAACTTGAACTGATTTTTTACAAAGCATGTTGTAGATTTTCTTTATGAATTTCGCTCAGTTAGTTATATGGAATTAACAGTTAGTTAAAGTGATTTAATGAAACAACGCGCCGAACATTTTCTTTCAGAATGTTCAAAACAAAAGAAACTTGATATAATACAAATATACAGACCAATTCTTTCAATTATATTGGTCAGTTTTAAGGTGTATTTTATTCGTGCCTATACAGTTAAAATATAATTTCTGTAGAGTTAACGTATGGAAATTTACCTTTGGATGCATCATAAATACAAGACAATTCAAAGTAGGCCTACGTTTGAACCTTAAACTTTTTTCTTT